ATTTTTATTTTTTATTTTTTAAATTTTTAAAAAAGATTTTATTTATTTATTTGACAGACAGAGATTACAATCAGGCAGAGAGGCAGGCAGAGAGAGAGGAGGAAGCAGGCTCCCTGCCGAGCAGAGAGCCTGATGCGGGGCTTGATCCCAGGATCGTGGGATCATGACCTGAATGTAAGGCAGAGGCTTTAACCCACTGAGCCACTCAGGTTCCCTTGGAAATGCTTTTTAAATGTAAGTTTCCCGGAGCCCCTGGGTGCCTCAGTTGGTTAAGCTTATCTGACTCTTGTTTTTGTTTGTTTTTTAAGATTTTATTTATTTATTAGACAGAGAGACACAGAGAGAGAAGGAACACAGCAAGGAAGTGGGAGAGGAAGCAGAAGCAGGCTTCTGCTGAGCAGGGAGCCTGATATGGGGTTCCATCCCAGGACTCCAGGATCACGACCTGACCCAAAGGCAGATGCTTAACCAACTGAGCCACTCAGGCGCCCCAACTTAGGTGACTCTTGATTTTGGCTTAGGTCATGATCTCTAGGGACTTAAGGTTGAGCCCCGAATTAGGCTCCATGGTTTGTGCGGCATCTGCTTGAGATTCTCTCCCTTTTCCTCTGCTTTTCCCCAAACTTGTGTCCGTGCGTGCTCTCCCCCTCTCTCTCTCAAATAATTAAATAAAATCCTTAAAAAAAAATGTAAGTTTCCAGTTGTTTCTACCAGTATTTATAAGCACAGTTGATGTTTGTAGGTTGACCGTTTATTTCCTGCCACCTTGCTAAATTTAAATTCATTTATTCAAATTTTTGTTTTGATTTTTTGGATTCTAGGACACATTCATGTCAATGTAAATACAGACACGTCTATTTCCCATAGATAATCAGTTTTATTAATTTTCTATGTATCCTTCCAGGATTTTGTTTTTATGAAAACACTCAAAGATTAAACAGACACAATGCATGTTTCTGCCACCCTACCTCTTCTAAAGGTGTCTTTGGTTAAACTGAAGTATTTATTTATTTATTTATTTTTTAAAAAAGATTTTATTTATTTATTTGACAGAGATCACAAGTAGGTAGAGAGGCAGGCAGAGAGAGAGGAGGAGGCAGGCTCCCCGCTGAGCAGAGAGCCCGATGTGGAGCTCGATCCTAGGACCCTGAGATCATGACCTGAGCTGAAGGCAGAGGCTTTAACCCACTGAGCCACCCAGGCACCCCTAAACTGAAGTATTTAATAGATAGGTTATAAGATTTATCCCCTTCTTCCTTAATGGCTTCTGGATTTTATGTTTTTTTGTTTTTTTCTTTCTGAAAATCTGTCTTTTCCCAAGGTCCACTGTATATTCTCCTCTATGTTTCTGAATGTTTATATTTTTTTGTTTCTAATCTTTAGCTCTTACATGCTTGGAATTTATTTTATGTAAGGTGTGAACTAGGAATCCAACTTCCAGTCAGATAACAGCTTGTCTCAACCCTTTGGGAAGAGGCTGTCCTCTCCTGGCTGTGTTGAGATACTGTATTCACCACTCATTAATCCCCAAATACATATGATCTCTCTATTCTTTTTTTTTCTTCCTTTTTTTTTTTTTTTGACAGAGGGAGAGAGATCACAAGTAGGCAGAGCAGCAAGCAGAGAGAGAGGGGGAAGTAGGCTCCCTGCTGAGCAGAGAGCCCGATGCGGGGCTTGATTCCAGGACCCTGAGATCATGACCTGAGCTGAAGACAGAGGCTTAACCCACTGAGCCACCCAGGTGCCCATGAGCTCTCTATTCTGTTCCATTTACTGTCTGTTGCTGCACTAAACCACAGTTTTATTTTTTGTGCCATTATATACTTTCCTTTTTATTATAAAATACAACACAGGAAACAAAGCCACACCAAAGAGTGTGGATTAAGAAGGAAGTGAGGACCCAGGTCAAAAAGGAGAACTTTGTTGGTCTCCCCAGATGTTCCTCCATTTGTCTGATTCCAATCAACACCTTTGTCTCTCCCTTGCAAAAGTAACCTTTTCCTGAATTTCACTAAGGTCAGTGACCTAAGTATGCATCTTTATAGTTTAGCTTTCTTCTTCTTCTTCTTTTTTTTTTTTAAGATTTTATTTATTCATTTGACAAAGAGAGACACAGCGAGAGAGGGAACACAAGCAGCAGGAGTGGGAGAGGGAGAAGCAGATTTCCCACTGAGCAGGGAGACTGATAAGGGACTTGATCCTGGGATATTGGGATCATGACCCCAGCAGAAGGCAGGTGCTTAAGGACTGAGCTACCCAGGCACCCCTAGTTTAGCTTTTTTATCTTAAAACCCCCTCAAAAACCTAATTATGATTTTTAAGGGTCTTTTAAAGTGTATTTTATCTATTCATTTATTTTAAAGTTGTTATTTATTTAATTGACAGAGAGAGGCACAGCAAAAGAGGGAACACAAGCAGGGGGAGTGGGAGAGGGAGAAACAGACCTCCCGCTGAGCAGCGAGCCCGATGAAGGGCTTGATCCCAGGACCCTGGGATCATGACCTGAGCCAAAGGCAGATGCTTAACCAACTGAGCCACCCAGGTGCCCCCATGGTAGGTTTTCTGACATTAAACTATCTTGTCCAGTTCCTGGGATAAATTCTACTTGGTGATGGTGATGTATTATTATTTCCTTAAGGTACAGTTGGATTCAGTTTGCTAACGTTTTATTTAGGATTTTTGCACCCAGTTTTAGAAGTAGAATTGACCCTTGATTTGCTTTTTCTGGAGTGCCCTTGCTTACTTTTTGTGTCCTTGATGAATAAGTCAGAAAGCATGCTTTTAATGCTTTGGGGCTCTTAATCTTTCTTACACAATGACCTATTCCTTGAAATTTTGCTATAATTGGCCAGTTTAATTGTCTGAGGCCAATGCCTTTGGGAGAGGTCTTTGTCTTTTCGTTTTCTTTTTCAGTTAACAGTTTTTCGTTTTCATTATCATTTTTTTTTACTTGATTTTAGGCAATTTCTATTCTTCTAGGAAATCACCCATTTCTTCTGGTCTTTTCCGTCTCTCCTCCCTCCCTCCCCCTGTCTCTTACCTGATGGCACTGTCCCCTTTGTCTGCAGCGCTGCTTCTTGCCTGGATGTCCAGACTCCACCTTAGGGTCAGAAGAGCAGCGTTCTGTTCACTCCTTTGGATCTCCCACGGTAGAGTCTTGGTATTTCTGTGCTGAGTTATGCTTATCTTGGTCAGTATCCCTGCTTGTTCTTCATGGTGCACCAGGTGCAGGGACCAGCACGTGTCCTTTAGTTTTATGTCCTGGGCACAACCACAGATCCTAGCACACTGAAGTCCCAGTCGATAGCAGGGACTGGGGCTGGGGGAGAATCCTGTTGACCTTGTAGTAGAAAGCCATGTCATTGGTCATTGGCTATCCTAGCATCCCTCCTTTGTGGCCTCTCCCTCTAAGTATATGGCCCTACCCTATTGAACTCAGAAGTGACCATGTGACTTGATTTGCTCATGAGCTGTGGTCCCAGGTATCACTTTGGGTCGAATTTGTAAGTATGGTTCTCTGTTTTTTATTATCCTCTATCCGTCCTCCTGATCATGTTCCAAACAGGCACTGCTCCTGCTGTGTTGGTCCAGGACTGAAGATGGCTTGGAGGACAGTTGCAGAGGACACATGATGGACAAGGAGCTGGAAGGAGAAGGAAACTGTTGTTACTTTAAGCTACGGAGATTGTGGGGGGAGTATTCACCATTGCAGAATAACTTGACCCATCCTGACTGATACAGACCCCTCCTCCCCTTCACTGTGAGGGTCCTATCTTCTTTAAGGTGAACTCTGAACCCTGTGGAAATCTGGTTACTCTTGGCATTTCCATTGAGGCCTTTGTTTGCTGGGCATTGCTATAGACAGAAGTGAAGGGGATGGGCTTTCGAATGAGAATTCTGGATTCTAGGTTTGGCTTTAACACTTCATAGCTACAGTCTTAAGGATACATCAGCTGACCTCTTAGTGCCTTAGTTTCCATCTTTGTGGAGATGGAAAGAATAGCAGTGTCTACCCCTTGGCTGTGTTGTGATGATTCACAAACTCTGGATAGTACTTTTTTTATAGACGTTAGTATTAGTAGGAACAGAGATTTTTTTAAAAAAAGATTTTATTTATTTATTTGACAGATAGAGATCACAAATAGGCAGAGAGGCAGGCAGAGAGAGAGGGGGGAAGCAGGCTCCCTGCTGAGCAGAGAGCCCAATGTGGGGCTTGATCCCAGGACCCTGAGATCTGAGCTGAAGGCAGAGGCTTAACCCATTGAGCCACCCAGGGGACCCAGGAACAGATTTATAGAGATTTACTAGCTTAGGCCAAGTTGTCGTGCAGTAACATGTGACCCCCCAGATCTCAGTGGCCCCCACAGCAATCTAACTTTAACCCCAGTCTTATTCCTCCTCCTTTGTCGGTTGCTTTGTAGTTCCGCACTGTGACTTTTTACATTAGAACCCGAGCCCTTCTTGGGGACATGCTTCTCTCAGAACATGAGAGTTGGTGGAATCATTCATTGCTCAGAAGTGGCACTGTCCCTTCCAGTCACACTGATCACCCAAGGCAAGTCACAAGACCAAAGCTGATGTCAGGGGTAGGGAAGTATAGGCTTTTTATAGAGAAATAAATAATTGGGAACCATGGTAAAATCTACCACAAAGGCCTCTTCCATCCTAGTCATTAGGATTAGCAAAATGACTGAGATGTTTTTTCTTCTTACCTGAAGCTCTCAATCTAGTAAAGATAATCAAATAAAGAGAAAAATTGCAACCTAGTGTGAGTAAGGTGGGATGCCCAGGTTGGACAGAAGAAGGAGTGACCATCCCTGCCTGTGGAGTTAGGGGATGAATGAATCTCCCCTGGGCTCCTTGGGAGAATCTAGCCAGCCTCATAAGGGTTCTTGGCAACAGTATGACTGTAGTCCTTGGGGCTGAGATCCTGGACAGGGTGTCTGAGGTATTTCTGAAGGTGGTTGAGCTCCAAGGCCACCTGCCTTCTTTGGAACCACATGGGTGAAGGACTCTTACTTGGGTTCATCTGGAGATGCCAGTGCACAGTGCTGACAAGGCCAGGTGGGTAGGAAGGTGGGGGTTACCCTCACAGAGTCATCCTGATGCCTGGAGTCTGACCTAAAGGAAGAAGGGCTCCATTGAGACCCCGAGTCCTCAGAGGACAGGGACACAGGATGGAATGTTAGGACCTAGGGCCAGAGGAGTCAGAATGCCAGCTTGGTCTGTAAGGAGACATTCTGGGCCTCTTTCTCCACAGGCATTACGCCGTGTCTTCCCTCTGACTCTGACTCCATGTAGCGGAGACTGATACGACACATGGAATTTGAGTCTGTGGGTGAGGGTCGAAGGAATTGTACATTGCATCAGATAAGGAAGCAGGGCAGGGGACAGCCTTGGAGGGTATACAGGCTGGAAAGAGATGAAGGGAAGATATCCAAGGAGGCCCTGGAGCCCGAGGCGCCATGTTGAACGAGGAGGTGTGAGAGGACAGGGCCCCTGCAGAGGAGGCCTCGGCTCAGGGTCCGCAGTAAAGCTCCCGGCAACACTGAATGGTCTCTCCGTCACACAGGTTCCTGCTTGGAAGCAAGATGGGCTTTCATAAGGCTCCAAGAAGTAACTCTGGGTGGCAGAAGTTGATCTTGAGAGAAAGTAACTTCTACCTGGCCCCTCTAGCTGAATTTCACAGCAGGCACTGGGCTGACTCTGTCCTTTTGCCCACTGAGAGCCGGGCCGGGGGGCAGGTTTTGCCTCTGGAGGACAGGGAAGACACGGAGACCATGAAGGAACGGACTCAAAATCACCCAGCAGGTGGGAGTTGGTGGGTCTGGGGAGGCACTGGGGGTTTAGCAAGAATGTTTGAGTGAGCACAGCTGTGCCCAGAGGCTCCTTTCTCCCTGCTAGGCCTAGAGGAGGAGCTGCCCTTCGAGAGCCTCATGGGCGGCCCTGCCCCTCAGAGCTGCTCCTTTTCACCCAGGTTTGCCTTCCAGCACTACTGACTGGCTCCAGGGAAAGGAGGGCAAGGCCCAAATGCTGGTGAGTTGGGTTACTTTTACTTTTTTCTTTTTTTTGCCTGAAATACTGGCTTGTTTCCCAGAGAATAAGCATATATTCTCTTTTTTGAAAAAGGGAAAGGCAGCCGTTCCCGCTGTGTCAGACACTGTCTTAGTGATTTGTGTATTTGATTTTCTTTGTTGAAAAATATTCCCCGGGGCGCCTGGGTGGCTCAGTGGGTTAAGCCTCTGCCTTTGGCTCATGTCATGGTATCAGGGTCCTGGGATTGAGCCCCGAGTCGGGCTCTCTGCCTGCCTCTCTGTGAAACTGTGATCTCTGTCTGTCAAATAAATAAATAAAATCTTTAAAAAAAAGAAAGAAAAATATACCTAAGATTAATATTAAGAGTAACTTTTTAAAAAATTAATTTTATTTATTTGCCAGGGGAGTGGGGCACAAGCAGGGAGAGTGACAGGCAGAGGGAGAAGCAGGCTCCTCACTGACCAGAGAGCCTGACATGGGGCTTGATCCCATGCTGGAGGCAGACATTTAACCGACCGAATCACCCAGGCACCCCATATAGTTAAGAGTCTCTTATGGTTTGTTTCCCTCTATCCTTCCCCCCACCCCACATCCCTGGGTTCATCTAATTTGTTCCTTAAATTCCACAGGAGTAAAATCGTAAGGTGTTTGTCTTTCTCTGATTGCTTTATTTCGCTCAGCATAATACCCTCTAGCTCCATCCACGTCATTGCAAATGGCAAGATTTCATTCTTTTTAATGGCTGTGTAATAGTCTGCCATTTATCTACACACCACGTCTTCTTTATCCATTCATCTATTACTGGGATTTTGGAACAGGTAGAGAAGTAGCGAGCAGAGTAAATAATAGGACCTCAGGTCCCATTATCCGGCTTCAAGAATCACCTATAATGGCCAGTCTTATGTCGTTTCTATGCCTCACTTTCCTCCATGAATTATTTTAGACAAGTCTCAGACACGGTAACATTTTCTCCACAATTCTTGACAAGAGCCGGAAGAGTGTGGTGATGGTGGTCATGCTCTTTGTTTCAGAGGGAGGAGGTCTGGCCCAGAGGAGTGTGTGATCTGTGCACAGCCACACTTGTCTTCCGCATCGTGGAGCTGGCAGTTAGACTCGTCTCTCTCTGCCTCTCCAGCTCCTGCACCTTCTAATGTACTGAAAAGCCTTCTTGCTCTTACATAAATCCCCATCTGAAAATGTGGGAGCATATTTTCCGACCCTCGGGACTGGGCCTGTATCATTTGAGGAATTTCTCCTGCAGAATGCTCTCCCTAGAAATAGCGTCTCACCCCCCAATCCAAATTTCCAGCCCGCGATCTTCTCTTCCAGAAATGTAATGTATTCTTTCACGAGGATTGGGATGAGATTCTGCCGGCCCAACCAACAGGTAGGTAAATCCACCATTCTTGTTCTCGAGCCTCCGAGATCTTTGGAAAAATGTGCGAAGACCAGCAATGATAGCCATCATTGTAGCTGTAGCAGTAATTTTTATGGTCGTGGTTGGAATGGCTGCGTGATGGTGCAGCAAAGTTGTTGGCCAGGTGCTGGCCTAAGGCTTTCAGACCAGGCTCCAGCCCCTGGCAGTGGATTGACAAATTCCTAGGACACAGAAGCGTTTCTGGAGCGGCCGTGTGAGGCGCTCGGTGGACCTTCTCCCCAGCAAAACATCCAAAATGACAAAAAGCACAACCATGTAAAGTCTGGAAATTGTCCTAAGGATGTACAGCAAGCAGAGAAACATTTATTCAAGAAAACCTGAATCTCAGTAAGAAAAGCAAGTGTGTGTGGCATTTGTCCCATGGCCTGCTCTTCCTGTACTCCAATGGGGGCAGCCAAAAAGAGGGCTCTCTCGCCCCCGTTCTCAGTCTGGGACCTCACATATCCCCCACAGGGGCAGGCCACCCACAGTTCTCAGTGTTACAGGCAAGTGTGGGCAAGTGGTCTGGGGTCTTCTTCCTCCACCAGCCCCTCGTTATAGGGTAGAAGCTCTGTCCTGGGCACAGGAGGTCAAGAATCAGGAGGGCTTCTTGCCTTTTCTGCAATTTGCTCCTAAGGCAGGGATCCTGGGCCAGGAGGGCCAAGCTGAGGAGAAAAAACAAAAACAAAAACGGGCTGTTGGGTGCCCAGGGGGAGAGGCAGGCCTAAGAACTGAGCACCCCTGGTGCTCCCTCAGAGGCCTGGCCCTGTTTACAACAGAGCAGAGGGAAGTTGAAGCCTCAGCCATGGAAAACAATGGAGATTTCGGTGCTGAGCAGTCGGGAGGAAGCTGGCTGTCCATGAGACCAATTGGCTACGTTCTTTCTTTCTCTTCTTTTTTTTACATTTTTAAAAAGATTATTTATTTATTTATTTATTTATTTATTTATTTGACAGAGAAAAACACAGCAAGAGAGGGAACACAAATAGAGAGAGCGGGAGAGGGAGAAGCAGGCTTCCCGCTGAGCAGGGAGCCCAGCTTGGGGCTCGATCCCAGGACCCTGGGATCATGACCTGAGCTTAAGACAGGCACTTAACTGTGACGAGCCACCCAGGCGCCCGGCCTAGTATTGACAGTTAAAATACACTTGCAGTTGAGGGGTCCTGGGCAAACGTGTGATCACAAAGCACCACTGCTTGGGTGATAAGAAGTCACTTCATGGAGACTTGAAACTGTGGAGTCTTTGGCCCGTTCTGAGTTTCAGGAGGGAGACACATTGCAAACCCCTCATTCCTCTTAGTGCTTCCGTCTGTAATGTCTGCGGTAAGTGGTGACACGCTGCATGTGGCCTCCAACATTACTGTCTCTGTCAGGCCCTATGTCAGGAGCATTTGGAGGGAAGAACATTCTGGTCAAATGTGTCTCCAGTATTTTCAAGTTAAGTACCTCTGAATTTCTTGTTACAAAAATCGAAATTGTGGACACTCAGTTCATGGAGTATTTAAGTATATAGATCCCATCCTTTTCCCCTTTTGCCCTTTGACCTGCTGCCACTATTCTCAAGATTGGGCGTGTAAGCTAAAAAGTGCCCTCATCATGCACCACGGCTCGTGGGCAGACATTGCAAGTCGTAAGCAGTTTTCTGGGAAAGAAGCACTTTAAATATTAGGAAAGCATGAACTCTCACCTGACCAGGCTAAGGCATTTTTATTTATTTTAAATTTGACTGAGGTGTCATAGTCCTATAACAAAGCATGTAGTTAAAAGATGTACTGAGACTCTCCAAAGTGAGCACGGCCATGTAACCAGAGCCCAGATCAAAAGACAGAACACCACCACTCAAAAGAGAGCATTTCACTCATGTAAACCTTCCAGTCTTCCAGAGAGTTTCCCCCCGCAGATAACTCGCTCCTGACTTCTAATATTGAAGATTACTTTTCCTACTTCCTGTTTTTTAAATGAATGTCATCACACAGTCTGTCCCCTTTTGTGTTTGGCTTCTTGTGATCAAAATTATGTCTGGAATTCATTTACGGTAGTATTTGTACTTCATTTTTCATCATGGTTTGTTTTGATATGGAAAGGCCCCCCCACATTGCCAAGGTATTCTTGAAGAAGAACAAAGCTGGAGAAATTGATCAGATACCAAGATCTCTCATGATGCTGTGGTCATTAACACAGTGGGGTGGAGTATAAGGACAGACAGGTGGACCAGTGGAGCAGAAGAGAGTCCAGAAATAGACCACATGGAGACGGTAGCCTTAGTGATAGCAAAGGGGACTGCGGTGTGTTGAGGGAAGGTAGACTTCAGAAGAAGTGACGTCACTGGTTACTGGCCACGACGTGCACCTGTCACTTACACAGTGATCGGCGGACTGGAGAGCTAACGGCAGAGGCTGCTTGAGGCACTTATTCGCCGTTAATACACCACAGTAACTGACATTTGAACCATTTTGGTCAGGGATTGATGTTATTTAACTGAACCCTGGCAACTGAGAGTTGTGCAAGGAGTGCCGGTGCTTAAAAGGGGTTTTTCTAAAATTTTCTAAATTTTCTAAAGCAGTGAATTTTAAAGTATACCTTGATAAAGTGTCAGGCTTTAAAAGCAGAGCAGATTATTTGTAAATGCCCCTGCCATTCCCCTGCCAACGGTTTTGCACACATGACATGTTGCTCTACCTGATGAGTGAAGCATTCGGGGCTTTATTTTAAAATCCCAGGCAAAGAGATATTTAGTAAGCTACCTCCCCCACAGGTGCTCAGTGTGGACCCTGTCTGTTCTCTGCAGTTGAAGATTGTTTCGTTTTCTCCTCTGAATCTCCACCAGCCCCAGATGCCCAGCACAAGCCCCTGGTACATGTTCTTCTCTCCTTTCTCCAGCCCCTCCTCTGTGCTTCTCAGAATTCCTCCAGAACGCATCCTCAAGGTCACTTTCCTGAGCATTGCTTGAGGTCTGCTGATGGAGTCGCAGATCATTTCTCCAGTGAAATCCCAAGTGTCTGAGGGCCAGGAATGGGTTTTATGCATCAGCTGTGCGCCCCTCAGATTTTAACACAAAACCTGGGGGTGGGGGGACCAGAGGGACCTGTCATAGAGAACTGTGTACTCTGAAAAGAACGAGTTCAACTTTTCAAATGTCCAGGCTCTCCAGGGCCACTGGAAACACTCCTCACACTGGGAACATGGACAGTGGCTTTGCTGTGCAGTAACTTACCACTTGTTTTTATAGGTACTGGTTACATTCGGGGGTGTGGCTGTGGTCTTCACGGATGTGGAATGGAAGAGACTGAGCTCTGAGCAGAGGAGCATCTACAAAGAAGTGATGCTGGAGAATTACGAGAGCCTGCTCTCATTGGGTGAGGGTGTGTCCTTTCCTTCATTCATTCAGTAGAGACTTATTGGCCCCCTACTACGTGCCGGAAAGTGTGCTAGACGCTTAGCACACATTAGTAAGGAAATAGGCATCCCTGTGCATGGGGTCTTACTTTCTAGGAGGTGGTGACAGACAACAAACCAAAAGCTTCCCATGCAGGGTTATCATAACATGGTATGTTAGAAAGTGATAAACTCCACAGCGTATAAGATCATAATAAAATAGAGCAGGATGAAGGAGTGTTGAGTGTGAGTGGGGGCTGGTTGAGTTTTGCAATTGGGGGTTTGAAATCAACGAGGAGGGACCATGTGACCAAAGGTAGAATGCAGTAAGGGAGTCAGAACTCTGGGTATGTGGGGAAAGAGGATTTCAGGTGCAGGGACTTGTTGGTGCTAAGACCTTCTGGAAGGGATGTGCCTGCCAGGCATAAGGAACTGCAAGGTGGCCAGTAAGGCTCCGGGGCACAGTTGGCAAGGGGGAGAGGAGGGAGACAATGCCTTTTGGCGCAGAAGGTATAATTACATGTCAGAACCTGTATGGCTTTTGGGTTTCATAAGTCATTTTTTTGTTGTTGTTTTTTCATTTACTTAAAAGCTAGCATTGGTTGCTTAAACCTAGATTGGTAAACACTTTCAATTGGATCAGGAGTTGGCCAGTGTTTTCTCTGAAGGGCCACATAGTAACTGTTTTAGGTTTTGTGTGCTGTCTGGTCTCTAACTGCTCTGGGGTGGGCCCTTGGAGTGCTAAATTGCCACAGACAACATGTAAATGAATGAGTGAGGCTGTGTTCCAATAAGACTTGATTTGTGGACCCTGGGTTTTGAATTCCACCATCGTTCTTTTGACTTTTTCCCAACTATTTAAAAATTCAAAAACCATTCTGAGGTCGTGGACAGAAACAGAGGGCCCCCTTGTTCTAGGTCAGTGCTGTCCACTAGGAATATCCTATGAGCCAGGTGGGAATTTTAAATGTCCTAGTAACTGCATGCTACAAAGTAAAAATAAATGGATGAAATTAATTTTAATAACATTTTCTTTAACACAGTATGTCAAAAAACCTTATCACTTCAACATGTAATCAATATAGAAAAGTTAATTAGATTTTTTTGGTACTAAGTCTTGAAAATCTGGTGTGTATTTTACACTGAATATGTGAAGAATGAGAGGAAGAAAAGCTGATTTTGGAAGAAAAACACTACGATCTCAATATGCTCTGAGAGCATGTCTTCATTCAGACTAGCCCACCTTTCAGCTAAACCCTTGTGACTAGTGGCTACCGTATTAGAGCATGCCATATTGGATATTCCTAAATTTCCAGATAAATCATGGAGAGAAGAGTCACATTTTTGGAGACATAAACCAGTTCAGGCAGAAGTTTCTTCAGCCCTTTCCTTCAAATGGCATAGCTATTTCCCCGATATGAATTAATCACATTTTTGTTGCTCCATTTCCATCTTGTCCCATGTGTTCTGATCTGATTCCGTCTATTTTGAGTTCTGTCTAAGGATGGCTTCGTCCATTTCAGTCTGGTTCTGTATGTTTCGATTTGGCTTTAGCTAGTCAGCCTGACTAGACTTTATTTTTATTTCTCCTTTCCTCTTGCCCTATTATTCTCTTCCTCTATGTTAATGCATTTTATGGGTTCAGAGGAAAATGTTGAAATGACCTGATTTAGATTATTCTCAATACTGAAAGCCTTGATTCCTTTATTTTGCTCAACACATAATATTCTACAGTTCTCCAGCCTGGGCTCTTCTGAGCTTTTCTCTTATTTCTTTCTCTTTTCGGTGGCTCCTTTAGCGTCACGTATGTCTTTTTTTTTTTTTTTTCTGTGTCTATATTCACACCCTTAAACAGTTTGTGAACTTTAATGATTTTGCCCGTCACATGATAAACCCATTTTTTCTGTCACCTCTGCTTTATCTTTATATTTCTATTACGTTACACAGCACAAATTAGGTTATATTTCTATTAGGTTAAGACAGTACAAATTGGGGCGCCTGGGTGGCTCAGTGGGTTAAAGCCTCTGCCTTCAGCTCAGGTCATGATCCCAGGGTCCTGGCATCAAGCCCCGCATCGGGCTCTCTGCTCGGTGGGGAGCCTGCTCCCCCCGCCCCCCCACCCCCGCTTGCCTCTCCATCTACTTGTGATCTCTGTCTGTCAAATAAATAAATAAAATCTTAAAACAATTTTTTTTTTTAAAAGACAGCACAAATTTATTCTCGGACTTGCCAAAAATTGAGATCATAGTGTTTTTCTTCCAAAATCAGCCTTTTTCTTTTTCTCTCATTCTTCACATATTCATGTTATGATGTCTCTTCTTCATGGGTACTGCTAGACATAAGTGGGCCAATTTCCACTGAAGTAATCTTTAAAGCTTTCCTAGGGCTTTTTTTGTTTTTTTTTTAAAGATTTTATTTATTTATTTGACAGAGAAGCAGCAGTGAGAGAGGGAACTGCAGGGGCAGTAGGAGAGGGGGAGGCAGGCTTCCTGCTGAGCCGGGGAGGAGGGAACCCGATGTGGGGCTCCATCCCAGGACCCCAGGATTATGACCCCCACCCCCACCCACACCAGGGAAAGGCAGACTCTTAAAGACTGAGCCACCCAGGCATCCCCTAGGGGGAGTTTTTGAGTTAGCTTAGACTAAGTAATTCTGTGGTAACAAACCATCTCAAACTTTGGTGGCTTGTCATAGCAAATGTTCCTACACCAACTGTTGTCTAAGTTTAGGTGTGGTTCAGCTCTGTCGGTTCTGGAATTCAGACAAAAGGAACAGGCTCATCTGAGTCATGGGGTTCTTAAACAAGAGGGCAAAGAGCAATGATAGGACCACATGGTGCCTCTTTTTCTTTCTTTCTTTCTTTCTTTCTTTCTTTCTTTTTTTTTTTTTTTTAAGATTTTATTTATTTGTGAGAGAGCACAAGTGGGGCAGGGGGCAGAGGGAGGAGAAGCAGACTTCCTGCTGAGTGTGGAGCCCAATGCGGGGCTCAATCCCAGAACCCCCAAAATCAGGACCCGAACTGAAGTCAGATGCTTAACTGACTGGGCCACCCCGGTGCCCACATGGTGCCTCTTAAAACTTGTTTGAGGGGCGCCTGGGTGGCTCAGTGAGTTAAAGCCTCTGCCTTCCGCTCGGGTTATGATCCCAGGGTCCTGGGATGGAGCCCCGCATTGGGCTCTCTGCTCAGCGGGGATCCTGCTTCCCCCTCTCTCTCTGCCTGCCTCTCTGCATACTTGTGATCTCTGCCGGTCAAATAAATAAATAAAATCTTAAAAAAACACACAAAAACTAGTTTGAAAGTGGCACTAGCTTTTCAGTTATCATTGGCCAAAGTAAATCCCATAGCCAAGTCTGATGTCCTCGTGACGGGATTGGTTTGAACATAAGGGGCTGGAATCCTGAAATCATGGACCGTGTTTTTCTTGTCTACTGCTGAATCCACAGTGCTTAACAGAGAACCTAGCACTTAGATATTTCTTTTTTTTTTTAATTTTTAAAATTTAAAATTTTAATTAATTTATTTTTTAAATTAATGTATAATGTATTATTTGTTTCAGGGGTACAAGTCTGTGAATCATCAGTCTTACACAATTCACAGCAGTCACCATAGTACATACCCTCCCCAATGTCCATCACGCAGCCACCCTATCCTTCTTACCCCTTCCCCTCACTTAGATATTTCTAATAAGTGTTTGTATGTAGATGGGAAACGTGACATTCAGTTTTATTTCACATACAGTCTTTTTAACCACTGATCCATATACCATTTCCTACGTTTGAAAGCCCTCCAGGCCAAGTGACTTTTTATGTCTATCCACCTTGTTTTGTACTAAGAAAAGACAGGAAGGTGATTTCCGCATAGGTCACAGAGACTGTTACGTCCAAGTAGAACTGAGCTGTGGACAGTATGTATGGCTGTGACTGTCGATGGCTTCGGTTGTTTAGGAGAAAGGGAAGACTAAGATCAGTGAAGCTGTTTACAGCACACCGTGCTTACTTGAAAGGTTCCTGTCTCCCATGTAGAAGATGGTTTTCTTATGGATTTTGTGGGTTGCAGAAGATGGAATGTGCAGAAATGAATGTAAAGGAATTATTGGTGAGGAACAAATTGTGTTGTACATGTATTGTTAGTTACAGATGTGGCATGAAGACACTCTGTCTTAGGACAAGGCAGAGCTGCCCAGCAGCCCCACATAGGGTTTCTCTAACTGAAAACTCTCTCTCTCCAGCAGAACCAAAGCCAGAAATCTATCCCTGTGCCTCCTGCCTTCTGGCTTTCTTCTGTCAGCAAGTCCTCAAGCCAACATGTGCTTCAGATCTTCTTGGGCTTATGTGTAGAGAATCACTTACATCCAAGGGATTCTGGCCCCAGGCATTGGGAGTGGCAGTAACCTGCTCAGCGCTGCTGGTTTGGAAACACAGAAGGTCACCAGAGCGAAAGTGGTTCCTGGCCCCTATGTGTGGGGACAGAGACCTCAGGAGCATTCCCCAGCCTACCCCGAGCACAGTCAGCAGGAACTAGAGAAGGCCCCATGGTGGTAGAGACAGAACCCACCTCAGCCCAAAGGCTAAACCCTGTGCAAACAGACAGGGGAGGGAGAGACGCCTCAAGACCCCGGGGTACTCAGAGGTACAGAATGTGAACCAGACGGTCGCCTGAAATCAGACTTCGTTACAAAGCAGACGACCCACTTGCGGGAGAAATCCTGTGTTTGCAGGGAGTGCGGTGAGGCTTTAAAGTGGATTTAACCCTCCTCAGACACCAGTGGACACACTCAAAGGAGAAGCCTTCTGGGCCCGGTGAGTGTGGCCGAGGCTTCAGCCAGATGTCGATCCTCATTAATCATCAGAGGACACACTCAGGGGAAAAGCCATATGTGTGCAAAGGAGTGCGGCCGAGGCTTTAGCCAGAAGTCCAACCTCAACAGACACCTGAGAACACATTCAGAAGAGAAGCCTTGTGTGTGCGGGGAGTGTGGGCAGAGCTTTAGAAATAAGTCAGTCCTGATTAGACATCAGTAGACTCACTCTGTGGAGAAGCCTTACGTCTGCAGTGAGTGTGGGCAAAGCTTCAGGGAGAAGTCATACTTCATCAGACACCAGAGGACACACTCGGGGGAGAAACCCTATGTGTGTCTGGAGTGTGGACGAGCCTTTGGTGATAAGTCAGCCCTCAGAAAACACCAGAGGACACACTCAGATAGGAAGCCTTATGTTTGTGGGCTTTTCGGGTAAGTCAGCCCTCAGCATACACGACAGGACACACTTGAGGGAGAAGCCTTCCTTGTGTGGTGAGTGTGGCCAAGCCTTAAGCCGGAAACTACTTCTCGTTCACTAGAGGACACACTCCGGGAGAAGTATTATGTTTTCAGGGAGTGTGGGCAAAGCTTTAGCCCTAGGGTAAATCTTCTCATACACCAGAGGATACAGTGAGGCAAGAAGCCTCTGGTGTGCTGGGTTCCTGGGCAGGACTTGAGCAATCAGCCAGGCCTCGTCGTGCACCAGAGAGCCAGATGGGGAGGATCCCTATCCATGCGTGGAGTGTGAGTAGACCTTCAGAGACGTGTTGGGCCTCATCAGGGTTTGAGGCACCTTCAGGAGAGGAGCCTTGTCTATGCGGAACATGGGTGGCTCGGTAGCCAGAAGTGCAACTCTCACTGCACAAAAAGGATGCACTTAGGTGGGAAGTGCTGTGTGTGAGGCAGGGACCGTGGGTGGCGCGATCCGCGTTTACCGACTCCCCATGGCAGACTTGGGAGATGTGTCTTGGGTTCAGAGGAAACTGGTAGACCTCAGGGAGCAGAAAAACAGGCAGGCAGGGGGACCCCAAGTGCGCCCTCAGGGAGGAGCTGGCTGCTTGCCAGGAGCGTGGGCGAGACTCTTGCGCTCAGCCTGCCTTCTCCACACACCATAAGAATAATCCCTATGTGGACACCCCGGGGAGCTCTGCCCACGGAACCCCTTCAGGGCTGGCACCCCGGCCGCTCCATACGACTGCTACTGGTGGCCTCACAGATGCCTTCCTCACTAGGACTTGCAGCCACAGGGAACTGCCCCTTCCCAACAGATAGCTCCTGGCCAGTGACCCATTGGTCTGCGGAGAACAAAACCTCAATGTCTGACCCAGCTGGGACAATCCAGAGGGTTGTCCCAATTCCAGAGGTCCCCATTGGACTGAATGACTTCTTGGTTGCAAATGGGTTGCTAGCCGGCTGCTTCCTCAGCCAGGTCCCACCCTCACTCCCCGATAGACCAGTCAAGTTTCCATTTCATTGTATCCGGGGAATCTACTCTGAGACAACTTACGTGTGCAGGGGCTGGGAGCAGGGTTTTAGCCATAAGTCACCCCTCAACAAACCCCAGAGTATACAGAATGGAAGCTCCACATGTGCAGGAAGGATGGGAAAGCAAGTCTCAGTATCCATCAGGAATCGAGGCTTTAATGGGACGTGAAACCTCATCTGGCACCAGAGGACACCCTCAGGGAGGGCTCATGGCTGCAGCTTTATCCTTCCATCTTCTTGACAGACTTCAGGGGACAGATACTTGCTGGCACAGACCACTCTGCCTCATTCACCTCTGAGGGGCCTTCAGAAGTCTTGACGGCAGGGAAGATGGCACGCTCAACTACAGAGACCCCGGTTTTCCCCTTTTTGTAACCAGGTGGAGTAAAAATGTAGAAGGCTTTAGTTAAGTAATCCAGGAATGCTCTAGTTGTTTTATTTTCATACACCAATTCTTTCCCAGTTTCTCTTTTTCTTTTGTTCTAGTAAAAAAAATTGTTTTAAAGATTTTATTTATTTGATAAATAAACACGGCAAGAGAGGGAACACAAGCAGGGGGAGTGGGAGAGGGAGAAGCAGGCTTCCTGCTGAGCACAGAGCCCCCTGCGGGCCTCGATCCCAGGACCCTGGGATCATGACCTGAGCTGAAGGCAGGTGCTTAATGACTGAGTCACCCAGGCACCCCATAAAATCTTTTTTGATAAGTGCAGTCTGCGTACCTGGAAAGGAATTCAAATCCGCAATCTGGATTTCCTACATGAATTCAACCATCAAGAAACAACAAGTCCCAAATCAATCTAATAGATTTATAGAGGAAGCTGAACCTCTATGCCGGGAGGACGACCCAGGTTCTGGAGACATGTCAGCCGAAGGGAGGGGCTTCCCAGGTCCCCGAGCACTGGAGGGCTGCTGCCTCTCCTAACTGATCTCCCTTTGGCTTCTGGGAAAGCTCCTTTCCCAGGGTTTCCTTCCTTCCTTCTTTCCAATCTCTCGTCAGGTCTCTGCTGAATTCCTCTCTACCCCTTGGAAGCACTACCGTTCCTCGATGGTCTATTCACGTTCTCCGATTCCAGGGACCCTTTAGCCACACTCCCTCTGAGGCTTAACCATGCCCAAACTGTTCTCTAGCCACTAATCACAGCTTTGGGCTTCTTAGCGATCCCCCGTGTCAGTTCATAGTTCTAAAGACCCCTAAACACAGCTCCTATACCATGTCCTCTCAGCCCTCCATTTCTCGGGTCCAGTCCTCCTAGTGACCCCCTCCATCAGCTCTCTGCTCACTGGTCCAAGACAACTTAGCCATACACCCGCCCTTGTTCGTCGGCAGTGAGATTCCTCGCATAATCCTTTTCCTAATGGAAATGTAATATAATACCATGCTACACTATTTTTATTTTTTCCTAATATGTATAAAGGATAAAAATCCATGTTCTCCTTATATTAAGATGATTTTTGTCTTGCCCTGTAACCTAGTCCTTAATTTTAATCTAGAAATTGTTTTGGAGACTAGCCAAGCATGCACTTAGTCTTAAAGAGAAATTTGGGACAGGTTGCAATATGACATTCTGGAATCCTGGGAAAAAAAAAAGCCAGATTCCTAGAGTTCCATCCACCAGTGTTCTAAAGGATAAGGACATCTGAATGCTGGGGCAACAGCCGAGGATCAGAAGATCTTGCAAAGTCAGGTTATATACAGGGACAGGCTTTGCCCTGCTAATGTAGATCACCGGGGCAGACCCAGCCACCCTGCTGACCAGGCTCTGAGGCAGAGCTGACTTTATAAAACCCTTGCTGCTGCTACTCATCAGTTCTTTTTCCAACTTCCTGCTTCCTCTGAGAACTAGAAAGCTCCTCGGCCAGTGCAGTTTTCTCCCATGCTAAGTGCCTGCAGGACACAGCTTTCTCCAACCGACTGGCCACCATGTTTTCTCTGGCTCTCCACTCAGACAGTGGTGGCTTAATCGGGAGCCCAGAGTCCCAGCCCAGGTCACTTCTGTCCCCTCCATTCAGCCCCATGGACACACACCCTAGGGCCCCGGGGGCTGGCTGGCAGGCAGATCACTTGACCTTGATCCTGGGCACCTGGCTGCTGGTTGCTGCTCCCCAGACCTTCTCCTTAGTTTTGCGTGTATGGGCCACTGGGGCCGCAACAGCCACTCTTAGCTGCCCTATCTCAAACTGTGCACTGAGCACCAGGTTCCAGCAGCACTCCAGTGTCCATTTCCAAGGGCACTTAGGGCAGTGCCTTGAGCTCTTCTCACCAGCTCATCAGTCTCCATTCACTTGTGCCCCAGAGGTCTATTTGCTGCAGCCCCTTGGATGCAGATACTATGCAGTATGTGCTTTGTGTCAACATCACCCTGGCTCCCTGTGCACATCCTACTCCCTCTGTGACTCTGCCTCCTAGCTTTGGCATGCCTGATGACTATAGATTGGCTGTGGCCCGTGCAGAGGACTCCCCCTGCAACTTTACCATCCCGTGGACTGGAACCATGTCTTCTCCCACGAAGGCTGAACCCCAGCCTTAGGGAGGCAGCTTTCCTTCCACGTTTACCCTTCTGAGTACTCTCCTCCTGCTGAGGGTTTTCTTTCAATATTTACAGTTACTCTCCTACCATTGCATACTCATTCTTCATGCTAAGTTTCCCATTGAAATCACTGTGTGGTTTCTGTCTCCTCATCGGACCCAGATTGATAAAGAAGTGAATGTGCATGTATATAACTTCTGTATGAGGGCAAAGACATGAACTCTGTACCTGTATTTATTCAGTGACTCCAGTGATAAGCCAAAGAAACAGTGCAAGTCAAAGTTATTAATAATACTAGCTGGGGCTATGGCCTTGAACTCAGACAAAGAAATACAATGGTTTGGACCCTGGGATGGCGAACTACAGGCCTGAAGACCAAATTTGGCCTGACACCTGTTTTGGTAAGACCTGTGGAGTAGGAATGATTTTTATATTTTAAATGGTTGAAAAAGAATAAAAAAAAAAGAATAGCATCTGTAAAGTTTTATTGTAACAGTCATGTATTTGTTATGTTCTCTTGAGCTGCTTTCATCCTGTCATGGTTGAATCGAGTCATTGCAACAGAGACCATGTGACCCGTAAACCCTAAAGTGCTATCTGAGCTGACCTTTAACAGGAAAACTTTCCCAGGACCTGATCTAGACTGAACCTCAGGAACACTTTACCAAACAAAGGCCAGATGAATTCATGACTCCCTTTTTTTTGTTTGTGGAAATCGACAAGCTGATGGTAGCTAGGAGAGCATGGTAGTAGTGGAGCAGGGGACAACCGTCAGATTCAAGACATTTTGTAGGTGAGGTCCACAGGACTTGCTGATGGATGAATTATGAGATGGGAGAGGAAGAGAGGAATTGAGGATGCTTCCAAGTTTGTCATTTTGCTTTTTTGCTTTTTTAACCCGAGAACCTCCTGAGTCGGGGAACACTGGTAAGAAGTGGGTTTGGAGGAGAAGCGTGAATACAATCAGGAATCCAATTTTCATCATGTTAAGTTTATTAGACCTCCAGCTCAAGCAGGCGGCTGGAGATGAAAGGCCACGAGATAAATGAGGAGCCCAGCATTAGAGGAATGAATTTGAAATTCCTGAGCATTTAGGTAGTAGTCACAATTCCCAGGATTGGCGGGGATTGGTTGATTGACTCATTCATTCATTCAAATACGTTTTGCTAAGAGTGTTCCAGGCATTGCTGTAACGAAAAATACACAAAGGAAAATTTACACCCTCAGAATTTCCATTCTAATGGGAGGAGTAATAAAGTAACAGAAATATACAGTGTATTAGGGATCAATGTTAAGGAGAAAGATAAAGTGGGGATGCGTGGGAAGATTGCAGTTTTAATCAGGATAGCCAGCCAAGTCCTCGGTAGGAAAATATTTGAGCTTAAATCCTGCAGGAAGTGAGGGCATGAGTTGTGCACATAGCTAGGTGATTAGCATTCCAGGCAGAGAACAGCAAATGCAAAGGTACTAAGGGAGGAGCACGACAAGCTAGCTCGCGGAAAAGCAAGGACAATGGCTGCAGGAGAGGCAGGGGAGAGTGGCGGGAGATGATGACCTAGAGGTAATGGGCCCGGGTTGGGGACGGGGACGAACTGGAACTAGGAAGGTGACCCAATATCTCCCGAAAATTCAGTTTGACGTTAGCCCCGCCCCCAAAGCCCCCGCGGGCCTTAGGCTCACAGCTCCGCGTTTTGGCCGGAACTCAAGAGCCCACACCGGGCCGGAAGTAGCTTTTACCCGACCCCATTTTATCCGCGGCCGCACTTCCGGTGGCGGCGGCGGGAAGCGGAGCACAGGAGGGAGTCTAGGCCTCGGCCGAAGGGAATCCGGCGGGAATCGGAGCCATCAGAACCGTCACCATGGTGAGGAGGCCTAGGCTGGCGGCGCTGGAACTTCCGAGTCTGTCGTGGAGAGCGGACCGCGACTGATCGGGAGTTGGCGGGGGGGAGGGGAGGTCGTGGGTTGGCCGCTCATGGCGGCGAAGGCCCGGGCCGCGGCCGCCACGTCTGGGCAAGGGAGACCCGGAGCTCGACCATTCGGCGGGGTCGGGGAGCGGAAGGCTGGAACCGAGGGACGGAGGCCGGGGTCGCTCGGTGGTGGCGAGGATAGAACCGCGGCTCTTCATGCCGCTGTAGCCCCAGTACTTGGGATCCTACGGGCGCTAAGTAAACTTTTGCAGAATAAATATGTGTTTGGGGTTCGGAGCAGGCATTAGAGCCTCAGGAGGACTTGTGAAACGGGGTGAGGGTCTGAGGAGCTGTTGCCGAAAGAGGTGGGAGGACTTGTGGCCGAAACCAGGGAGAGTGCTTGGGTCCAGTAGGGGAAGAGGGAATGGGAGGGGGGAACGAGTATGTTTGGAGGAAGAGTGCAACTCATTTATTGAGCGTGCCTTTGTGTATGAGTTTGTCTGACTTTTCAGGGACTGGGGCTACGTAATGAAATGCTTCCTTCACCCAGTTCACTTTCTGGTTGGGGACACAGATACTGTAATCCGGAGTGGTAATGAAGCATTACGTAAAAGTAACGGCGAGGGAGGGGCGGGACAGGAACGCTCTCTGGGGTAGATGATTCTTGAGCAGAGTCCTAAAATATTGTCCGAGGTGTCTTTCCAGGGAAGATGGAAGGGAATGTTAGGGATGGGAAGGGCTGCAAGAACAAGGCATGAAGGGTAGCACTGTTGAAAGTTCCTGGAGGGGGAAGGGATGGATAAAGGGGTGGAAGGAGAGATGGGAGGAATTGGCAGGAACCTGGTTTCTGAAGGCTTTACATGCCACCTAATCCTGTTGGTGATGAGGCATGCCATTGAAGGATGGAGCCAGCAACATGTCTTGAACTTAGTTATGTTCAGAAAGAGCACTCTGTTCTGTAGTGTTGGGTGAACTGAAAGCAGGGGATTGTTTGTGGGATTGGTTGAAGAGTATGCCCTGGCTGGATTCAGTCTGTCCAGGTTCCAACCCAGCTTCCTGGCTGCGAGACAGGGCCAGCTACTTACCCTCTCCTGGCCTCAGCGGCTGCATTTGTAAAATAGGAGTAATAATTAGCCCGATTTCTAGAATTAAATGAGATCTCTAGTGCTTGTCACAGTGCCTGGTACACAGGGAGCACCCAGGAAGACTTAGCTATTACAGGGTGGACAGACCAGTAAATGTTGCCATAAAGGTTCACATCTGTGTGGCCAGAAGCTGTGTGATTACAAGCCCGTTAACGTGGTCCTTTGAGGGAGAGTGAACCACATACCCCGTGTCTCCAGGGTGTCAGTCAAGGTTCTGATCCACACATTGGTAGATTCAAAAACCTGTTCTTGTCCAAGCCCACAGAGATGAACATCAAGCCCAGTGCCTGGCACAGAGAAGGCGCTTGGATGGGTCATGACTGGCCCACACCCATCATACTGACGGGAGGCTGATGGACAAGTCAAATGTCAGGTGGTTTATTTCTAGAGAAATGTAACTGCCAAAAGCGCCTGACAGCTTGCATTGTGAGATCTCTTTAGCCTCCTTTTAGCAAAGCTCCATTGGAAGCCAGGCTACAAATTGGAAAAAGTTGTTGGATTGATAAAGAAGTAGATAACAAGTTATTTATGTTCTTTTTTTTTTTTTTAAGATTTTATTATTTTTTATTTTTATTTTATTTTTAAAAAGATTTTATTTATTTATTTATTTATTTAGTCGAGAGATAGAGAGAGAGAGAGAGAGTACGTGCAGGTGGAGAGACAGGCAGAGGGAGAAGCAGGCTCCCGCTGAGCAGGGAGCCCCAGGTGGGACTCGATCCCAGGACTCTGGGATCATGACCTGAGCTGCAAGCAGTGGATTAACCAACTGAGCCACCCAGGCGTCCCAAGGTTTTATTTATTTGTCAGAGAGAGAGGGAGCACAGGCAGGCAGAGGCAGAGGGAGAAGCAGGCTCCCTGCCAGGCAAGGAGCCCGATATGGGACTTGATCCCAGGACGCTGGGATCATGACCCAAGCGAAAGCAGCCGCTTAACTGAGCCACCCATGTTTCCCAAGTTATATATGTTCTTAAAGACCATTATGAGTTCAAACTGATGAGTGCCCTGGCCACCAGAAAGTTTCCCTACCCAAAGGTAGTCTTGGAGGCACACTAACGTTTTTGGTTTAGGGATTCCATTCTCCTTACCTCCAAGCTGATCAGCTCCTTTGTGTTGACAAATTCTCCTCATCCTCATTGATTGGATCTTTATTGCCAATCATTTCAGCTCCTCTTTCACCCGGTCTTTTAAATGGGCTGTGGGTATCACAGCACTAGTGACCTGTAATCTGCACAGTGGCAGATTGCTCTTCTGGTATTGGGGGGGAGTTGGATTAGTTTGGAGACACTTTACACCCTCACCCCTGAAACTGAGACAGCGCAGGCGCAGGTAGTTGTAATAAGAAAAAGACAATTTTAAGGGAAGGGAATAACAGTTGTGGGCAGAGGTTAGGGCTGAACGAAGGGTGATGTGGGAGAATTCCTGGGGAAGGGCTGTGGCCAGAAGCCAGAGCTGAGGATCTAGTGAGAACGATAGACAGCCATGTGGAGGAGAAGGCTACAGCTGGTCTTCAGGAAGGACCAGCGATACAGAGGTCCGAAAGAGCTGGACTCATCCTGCTGATTTGTCCTTGCAGACCGTGGGCAAGAGCAGCAAGATGCTGCAGCACATCGACTACAGGATGAGGTGCATCCTGCAAGACGGCCGCATCTTCATCGGCACCTTCAAGGCTTTTGACAAGCATATGAATTTGATCCTCTGTGACTGTGACGAGTTCAGGAAGATCAAGTGAGAAGTGGGCTGTGTGGGGATGGGATGTGAGTTTCAAGGGAAGTGGATTGGGTGGGTGGGCGGGGTGACAGGTGGTGATATAGCTAGCTGGTTCCTTGGTTTGCTCCCCTGTGTTAGAGGGCAGATGTAAGTGGGGACAGCGGACTCTAAGAACTCTCCTTCCTTGCTAGCCCGGCAAGCCTTGCTCTCTAGTCTAGCTGAGTGCAAGTTGTCAGGAGGGCTGCTAGACTTTTTGTTTCTCTGACTTTGTCTGCCCCTGGGTACTGGGGTAAAGGGCTCTCATGTTCTCCCCACAGGTGTGTAAGGGGGGAGAGCTTGGTTTTCTGGCCTCATTGCCTATTTGTAAAGCTGTAGCCTAAAGGGCTCTCCCAAGGCAGCCTGGTCTGAAACTGCTTTAAGAAGCCTCTGACCCTCTTCAGGGTAAGTGCTCAGCTTCCCGTGTGGGTTTGGGGCCAGTGATTTTTGTTGGCATTTATAGACACAATTGGAGATATTTTCTACTTTTCTACAATTCCATACATTATTAGATAACTCCCTTGTTTTAAGATTCACAGATCTTGAGCTTTTGGCCTGTTTAAAAATGTGGGCTTTAGTTCTCCGTGCATATTACATTCAAGGCATTCTGAGGCCCAAAGAAGTTATGTGACTTCCATAATCATTCAGCTCTTTTGCCACATCCAGCGGTCCCTTGAGGGCTGTCCTTTTCTTTTTGTGGCAAGAGGTCAAGAAGTACAGGACACGATGTGGTAGGGATGGCTGAGTGCCAGGGATACATTGAAGAGGGGCCAGCTGATCAGCATAGAACTATTGCAGATGGTTCTCCCGTTGTTTTTTTAATGAAACTATTCTGATAATTTAAAAATGTTTATTGGGAAATATATTTTAAAAATACGTAAAAGTATATGCAGAAAGATTTAAATACCCAGAAGGGTATGTGTGTGTGTGTGTGTGTGTGTGTGTGTGTGTGTGGTTTTTTTTGTTGTTTTTTTCTTTTTCGTTTTGTTTTTTATGAAAGAGCAATAAATTCTTTTATTTAAAAAAATATAGATAAGGGAAAAGGAAGAAATGTCCACCCATAGAAAACTGCTTTTAATTTAATATAAAAAAATACCATTAAAAGGAAACCTTTAAGTTTTTAAAAATCAGAGCCTTTTGTCTTTCCTCTATTTTTAGAATATTGGTTTTGACTTTTTTTCCCCTTCCCCTGTCTTGCTGCAGTTACTTTATTTCCTAGTTTACATTTACAGTTGACCCTCGGAACAACCCAGGGGATGGGGCACCAGCCCCACGCAGTCAAAAATCCATGTATAACTTTTGACTCCCCCAGACTGAACTGCTGATAGCCTGCTGTTGTCTGGAGGCCTTACCAATCACCTAAACAGATGAACGTGTCTTTTATGTGACCTGTATTATATACTGTATTCTTATAATAAAGTACGATAGAGAAAAGTTATTAAAATCATAAGAAGAGCAAATACATTTGCAGTACCATATCAGAAAAAATTCCCATGCAGGTGGCCCCTCACAGTTCCAACCCATGTTGTTCAAAGGTCAGCTCTATGTTTTGTTCCTCCTTTTCTGGTAATTCCACTGGGAACATCTGTTTTTGCACTTTGAGACAGAGGTGTAATTTCTATGTAGTTATTCCTTCATTGTTTCTATTTCTCTGGTGAGGTGAGGGCCGTAGTGGAAGGATGCTGCGTGCAAGAGGGTTGAGGGGTTCGGTGGGTTTGAGTTGTTCAGGCTGCCTCCTCACACTGCCAAGGCCTTAAGCTGAAGGGAGGGAGTAGGGTAATGTCAAAGAAGACTGGACCAAGGAAAGGCCTTCCCGATGGTTATGGAATAACATTCGAGCCAGGGCTGGGCTTTCTTAATTCTTGTCCTGTCTCTTGGTCAGCACATCCCCTTGGCCTGGAAGATAACCACTAAGGAGTAATGAGTTCAGCCTGGGAAGGCTATCCAGAGGAGCTTAGAGAAAGTTTTTGTACCATTTGTTGGGAGATACAGTGTAAAACAAATCTTGGAGGCCCCTAGACAGGTGAATGGGAGCATTACCCTTTTTCTAATGCTTGCTTGTTTATTTTCCTAAACCCATCCTCAGGCCAAAGAACTCAAAACAAGCAGAAAGAGAAGAGAAGCGAGTCCTTGGTCTGGTGCTGCTTCGGGGGGAGAACCTGGTCTCAATGACAGTGGAGGGACCTCCTCCCAAAGATGTAAGTCTGTGCAGGGGGCCAGTATAAGGGGGGCAGCCCTGCTGTGAGCCAGGCTTTGTCTTAGGTTGTCTGCATTTCACTGCATTACTCACAGGCATCCTCTGATTTTTGTCCTCCTTTTACAGATAATAGAATCTCAAAGAGGTTATCCCACAAGTAAAAGTAGAGATGGGGAACCTTTTCTCAGCTGATGTACATAGTGAGTCAGGAGAAAAGGCACTTGTGGCCATCTGGTCACTTAATGTGATGGCATTTTAGCTGGACTTTAAAAACTCTTAACTGCAAGGGGTGCCTGGGTGGCTCAGTTGGTCAAGTATCCAACTCTTGATTTCAGCTCAGGTCAGGAGCTCAGGGTTGTGAGATTGAGCTCCACATCAGGCTCCACGCTCAGCAGGGAGTCTGTTTGAGATTCCTTCTGCCATCGCTGCATGCCCACCCCTGTCCATGTATGCTCACTTGCTATCTCAGAATAAATAAATCTTTGTAAAAGGAGGGGGGAGCTCTCTGAAGAAAGGATCAGGAAACCAAAGAGCTCATGAACATTAATTGAAAATGCTGGATTGTGGGGCAGTGCTTGGGTGGCTCAGTCAGTTGAGCTGTCAACTCTTGATTTTGTCTCAGGTCATGATCTCTGGGTCCTGGGATCCCACCCTGTGTTGGGCTCCACACTTACTGGGGAATCTGTTTGAGAATTCTCTCTTCTTCCTCTCCCACTCATGAGCACTCTCTCAAATTAAAAAAAAAAAAAAAAATCCTAAATCCAAATAATAGAAGGTATATATTTTATAAAGTTAGAGAATAATGGTTAACATTTATTAAGCATCTGCTGTGTGCCAAGCACTTTAATATTTTAGTTACTCCTTATAAACAGTTTATTGAGATAAATTATTCCCACTTAATAGATTAAAAAAACTGGGCTTTAGTAACAAGCCTGAGTGTCCTAGCTGTTAAGTGGTGAAGCTGGCATTTGATCCCAGGCATTCTTGGTTCCATATTTAGAAATAGAACAGACTTTAGATCATCTAACCAGGTTTTCATATTTTCATTTTAAGGCATTGTCATCAGAGGAATAATCTTATTTTTACTTTGACCACATATGTATTTGTTTTTTTTTTTGTATTTTACGCATAATATGTATGCAATACTTTATTCTACTTTTTCACTTAACATTTTAAACATATTTCTGGTTGCGGTATACTTTTTAAAAGTAATGTTAAAAATATCGTCTTAAGTGATGATGGAGTAGTCATCCTAGTCATTTTCTTCTTTTTGGACTTTTACATTGAAGCCTTTCCAGTTAAAATGTCTGCACGGGATTTACCATATTTTTTTGGCTAAAGCATATGTCTATATTTATAACTCTTGGATCTGTTTGTAGTAGAAGACACTACTCTTACATAAATCATTGTAAGTCTTCATGACCACAACTGGTTTTGTCATAACCTCATCATTTACAGATGAGGAAACAGTCCCAGAGCTGTAGGATTACTTGTCCACTGTTACCTTCCAGGTGAGAGTCAGAGCTGGGACTGGACCTTGTTTCTCTTTGAGGCCAGGTCAAGTGCTCTTGTCTGCCTATACCCTTCTGAATGGAGCCCTGTCCCTTCCTTGGTTTAATTTTCATAGGAGTGAATATAGGTTGAGTTGTGGTGTATTAATCTCTGGACTTCCTCTTAAGTTCCAGCCTGCTGTAGGAGTGACAAGACACATTATCTTGGGTGGAAGAGGAATGGTGTTAACACGTATGGGTCTTTTGATGCCCCATAAATCTTAGGGGCTGTTTTGGCAGTGGTATTCCAAAGTGTACTTCTGATTCTCTAGGCCCCCAGCATTTTAGTGCATTTCTTTATGTTTTAGACTGGCATTGCCCGAGTGCCGCTTGCTGGAGCTGCCGGGGGCCCGGGGATCGGCAGGGCTGCTGGCAGAGGAATCCCAGCTGGTGTTCCGATGCCCCAGGCTCCTGCGGGACTTGCAGGGCCAGTCCGAGGCGTTGGTGGGCCGTCCCAACAGGTAAGGAGTTGGGGAAGGGCACTAACTTCTGGTTAAAATGAAGGATAGAGAGAGGGCCCACAGTTTAGGAAGAGTCCAGAACAACCGACCTCTGACTGTCAGGCTGTCAGTATCTCATTATGCTCTATATGTAGTCCCAGAATCAAGTGAAAAGGAAAACTTAACATTGTAAATTATTTTGTTGCTGTTGAAGTAAAGAGTTGCATAGAAGGTATTGGGGCAGAATGTTTCCATGACAGCAAAGGGGCTGTGCTGTCTTACAGCCTGTTCGCAGTTACACTGACAGTGTGGAGGCTGTCTCTCATTTGGACTGGGCCACCTCAACTCAGGCCTGGAAGATGGGAATGAGCATGCAAGCTTGGTCTTCTCTGGCAGGTGGTTTCAGATAGCCTGCTGCTGCGAGTTGTAGCTTAGCGGGTGGGGCGTCTGCTCTGAGTTGTGAGGAAGAGTAGGATGCTGCGTTGTCCTGTGCTTACTTGGCTCCTGTGTCCTCTTAGGTGATGACCCCGCAAGGAAGAGGCACTGTGGCTGCCGCTGCAGCTGCTGCCACCGCCAGCATTGCGGGGGCCCCGACCCAGTACCCACCCGGCCGTGGGGGTCCTCCCCCACCTATGGGCCGGGGGGCACCGCCTCCAGGTGAGGAGCCCATAAGGAGACCATGGCCACCTGATGGGAGATGCCTGAGCTGGATTCATGATGAGACATAACGTTGACTGAAACTGATGAGGAGTTTATGTAATTAAGCAGGATTACTCTGAGATCCAGCCTGGCTGATTGACCATGGAACTAGCTGGACAAGAGCCATAGGGAGCCCCACCTCTGGCTCAAGGCCCAGTTTCTTAGGAGAGACTGGGAGGGTGGAATGGTCCATCTGTCTCAGAACTTGGTGGACAGCTTTGCTATGTTTCCTGTTGTCTTCTCAAGATAGACACTTGAGCTGTATCCTTGGGGCTTTTCTCTTGTAGGCATGATGGGCCCACCACCAGGCATGAGGCCTCCCATGGGTCCCCCAATGGGGATCCCGCCTGGACGAGGAACTCCGATGGGCATGCCGCCGCCGGGGATGCGGCCCCCTCCCCCAGGCATGCGAGGTAAGTGCCAGCAGCAGTGACTTGACTTCCCTTAGAGCATGTTGGGATGGGAACTGGAGGGAAGGTTTGGTTTTTGACCATAATCCTCTGGGCTTCTAGGCCTTAAACCGAGGGAAGTGGACTCTTAGAGGGCAACTTTGTCCACAAAGGAAAGAGGGAAAAAGCATTTCTTAAAATCAGCCTTCCCTCCCTCTTAGAGCAGTTAGAGTGGTCCTATACCCAGGGAACTTCTCAGTGTCCAAGGCAGTATTCTCCGGGCACTGTGAAATAATACGTTCTGAAAGTCCCCAGCAAGGGTCCCAGGATTGTCTTATGCCCTTAGGTTTGATAATGTCTAGTAATTAAGAGGGAGCCCTGGGCTTTACTGTACTATTTATTTATATATATCTATTTAAATCCAGTTTGAGAAATGCTGACATAGATTAGCCCTCTCGTTTTATAGATAAGGAAACGGGCCCCAAGAGCTTAGTGTCCGGCGTCCCAGATTGGTGTTCTTTGCACCAAGGCATAGTGGGTGACCTGTGTGTCTCTAGTTTGGGTTTTTTGTTTATGGGTTTTATAATCATAGGAACCCATACCTACCAGAGAAGTCCCTAGTTAGTATATATGTTATGTCCCTCTGATCACTTGGTGACTTTTGGGGGGTGGTATGTGTGGGAGGCTGGGGTGGGGGTGGGGGCTGGGGCTGGAGATTTGAGTTGCAGATCAGGCACTGACTAAACATCTTACTCTTACTTCAGGCCTTCTTTGACCCTTGGCCACAGAGTCATGGAAGTAGCTCCACAGAGGTGCGGGCCCGACTACCACAGACCTGTTTGTTTGCTATGCTTTTGTTCTCAGAGTCTCACGGGATTGTCTGGTTTCCCTTTCAGGGCCCCCTTCCCTGGGAATGCGCCCACCAAGGCCCTAGACTCATTTTGGCCCTCCTCAGATCCCTGCCTGTTTCCCGTAAGGCTGTACATAGTCCTTTTACTTCCCTGTGGCCTGTGAAACTAGTTTATAATAAACTCTTAAGAATATTTAAGTGTATCTGGAGTGTCTGTTTAATTTTAGATAATGGGGTGCTTAATAGAGTTAAGAAAGGTGCCTTGGAAAAGTCAGTGCTAATCTCAGCTGCTTCCCTTATAAAATATTTTACTACACATTTGCATCTATTCAAACGATGTACAACGTCATACGGAGAATTCACAAAATTGAACTATGAGATGTTTTCACATATCAAACTGGCAAAGATTAGTTTGTTGAAGTAAACACTCTTGCAGTGTTGGTGATGGTTGTGAATTGGCAATCTTCTTTGGAAGGCACTCATCTTGATAGCCTCTTACGCACTACTTCAGATGATACTCGTTTTCATATGATAAAATAGGAGGCAGACACTGAAAATGAAAACCAATAGCACTTGGAGAGGAACAGTTTTGCTATAACTTTCTCCCAGCATCACACACATGCATACAATCTAACCTTTGAGTTGCGGTTCTCCATGATTTCTTCCAACTAAAGTCTAAAGTCTACACTCAGTGGATAAGATGGTCACTGAACAGTACTTGAGTACTTAGTACTATCAAGCTTCCAAGGGTACAGAAATATGTTCCTGTCTGGGGCAAGACAATTCTAAAAGCAAAGGAGACCTTGAAAAAGTGTTGTACTGAAGTGTTAGAAATTTCTTCAGGAGTGTAAAGGTGGTTCAGCATAATGGAATACACATTAATGGAAGGAAAAAGCCACATGATCGTTTGAATAGATGCAGAGAAAACATTTGATGAAATTCTGACACCCTTCATGATTAAAAACAGCACATCAGGAATGGAAAGGAACTTTGTAAACATGACAAACGGGTCTATTTGAAAAACCCACAGCCTACATAATGGAGGTGCCCTCTTTAACCACTGCTGTTCACTCTTGTACCAGAAGTTAGCCACAACAATTTGGTAACTATACAAAATTAAAGCTACAGAGGTTAGAAAAGAAGTCAAACTGGACCTAATTCACCATGTAGAGAAAATCCCAAAGAACCCATGAGAAAACTAGAGCTGATCAAGTCTGCAGAGTTGCAGGGTCCAGGATCACACAGAAATCAATTGTGTGTCTACACCAGCAACAATCTGAAAAGGAGATTTAAATCATTGCATTTACAGCAGCATTCCAAAGAATAAAATACCTAGGAATTGTTTAACCAAGGAGGTGAAAGATTTGTACGTTGAAACTAAAACATCTTGGGAAAAAAAAAAAAAAACCCTAAATAAACAGACCACTTGTGCTCATGGGTTGGAAGACAATATTGTTAAAATGGCAATACTCTCCAAGATGATGTGTATATGGATCGAGTGCGATCTCTGTGCAAATTCCAATGGCCTCCCCCGCTCCGAGACAAGTGGATCGGGGCACCTGGGTGGCTCAGTGGGTTACAGCATCTGCCTTTGGCTCAGGTCATGATCCCAGGGTTCTGGAATTGAGCCCCATGTCCGGCTCTCTGCTCAGCAGGGGACCTGCTTCCTCCTCTCTGCCTGCCACTCTGCCTACTTGTGATCTCTGTCTGTCAAATAAATAAAATCTTAAAAAAAAAAAAAAGTGGATCCTCCAAATTCCTATGAAGCTGTTAGAGGCCCCAATTAGCACAACTTATATTGAAAAATGTTTGGGGCACCTGGGTGGCTCAGTGGGTTAAGCCTCTGCTTTAAGCTCAGGTCACGATCTCATGATCTCAGTGTCCTGGGGTGGAGCCCTGTATCCGGCTTTCTGCTTAGCAGGGAGCCTGCTTCCCTTCTCTCTCTCTGCCTGGCTCTCTGCCTACTTATGATCTCTGTCAAATAAATGAATAAAATCTTAAAAAAAAAAATGTTCAAAGTTGGATGTTTCACACTTCTGATTTTACAACCCAGTACAAAGCTTCAGTAATCAAAGCAGTGTGATATAAACATACAGACCAATGGAATAGAATTAAGAATCCGGAAATAAACCCTTGCTTATATGACTAACTTATTTTTGACAAGTACTAAAACTTTTCATTGGAATAAAAAGTCTCTTCATCAAACAGTGCTGGGACAATTCGATTTAACTAGTGCAGGAGAATGAAGTTGGACCTCTGCCTTGCCCCACAGGTCACTCATTAACTCAAAATGGATCAACAATATACATAGAAGGCTAAAACGATGAACCTACTAGAAGGAAACAGGTAAATCTTGACCTGGAGTCTGGTGATAGATTCTTAGGTTTGACGCCAAAAGCTCAAGCAAAACGAAACAACTTTTGTGCATCAAAGGATATTATCAAGAATGTGAAAAGGCAACCTACAGAATGGGAGAACAATATTTGCAAATCCTATATCTGATTTGGGTTTAATATCCAGGCCATATAAGGAACTTTTTACAACTCAACAGTAAAAAGATAATAGCCCAATTTAGCACTTTTTTTTTTTATTTGACAGAATGATCACAAGTAGGCAAAGAGGCAGCCCGAGAGGAGGAAGCAGGCTCCCTGCTGAGCAGAGAGCCCGACGTGGGGCTGGATCCCAGGACCCTGGGACCATGACCTGAGCCAAAGACAGAGGCTTTAACCCACTGAGCCACCCAGGTGCCCCAGCACTTAAAAAAAAAAAAAAAAAAAAAAATTTTATTTATTTATTTGACAGAGATCACAAGTAGGCAGAGAGAGAGAAAGGAGGAAGCTGGCTCCCCTCTGAGCAGAGAACCTGATGCAGGGCTCGATCCCAGGACCCTGGCTCAATCCCAGGACCCTGGGACCATGACCCCAGCCAAAGGCAGAGGCTTTAACCCACTGAGCCACCCAGGAGCCCTGATAATAGCCCAATTTAAAAGCAAAGGAATGGAATAGATTTCTTCAAATAAGATCTGCACATGAAAAAGATTCAGCATCACTGGCTTAAAGAGATGCAAATTAAAACCACAGTGAGAGACCATTTCACACCCACTAGGATGGCTATCATGGACAATAAGGGCGGGGTGGAGGGGGCTAACTGCTGGCTGCGAGCATGTGGGAAAATAGGACCCCTTGTGCATTGCTGGCAAGAATATAAAATGGTGCAGCCAGAATGGAAAACAGTTTTGCGGTCCATCAAAAGTCTAAACATAGAAATACCATATGATCCAGCAATTCCACTCCCAAGTATATACCCAAAGAGAAATGAAAATCTATGTCTATGCAGAAACTTGTATGTGAATGTTTATAGTACATTAATCATAAAAGCCACATAGTGGAAACAACTCAGCTGTCCATCAGTGGGTGAATGGATACACAAACTGTGGGATATGATATTCAATAAAATATTATTCAGCCATAAAAGAAATTTCATAAAAGAAATGAAATATTGATACATGCTGCCATTTGGATGAACCTTGAAAACACTGTGCTAAGGGAAAGAAGCCAGATGCAGAAGGTCACATTATAGGATTCCTATTATTTGAAACATCCAGAATAGGTAAGATCATAGAGACAGCGAATTAGAAGTTACTGGGACATGGGGACGGGGCCAAGGTCGAATGGAGATGGATTACTTAGTGGATATATGGTGTTTTTATGTGGTGATGAAAAAAGTTTTGCAACTAGAGATAGATAGCTGGTTATTGTGTAACATATTGAATACAACTAAATGCAATGGAGTTCTACCAGTCAAGTTAATAAAGTATTTACTTACATGTTACGAGATTTCACCTGAATTAAAAAAGAAAGACGGGAAAAGAGAGTTTTTTAATTAAAAAAATTACAAAGGGACACCTGGGTGGCTCAGTTGGTTAGGCCACTGCCTTCGGCTCAGGTCATGATCCCAGCGTCCTGGGATCGAGTCCCACATCGGGCTCCTTGCTCAGCGGGAGCCTGCTTCTCCATCTGCCTCTGCCTGCCACTCTGTCTGCCTGTGCTCACTCTGACAAATAAATAAATAAAATCTTAAAAAAAAATTTACAAAAAAAGAGAGAGTTTCTTCATGTAAAGAGGTTTACCAAGGCTTTTTACTGTGGGAAGGATGTTTCAGCAGAAGAAAAGGCTGAGGAGTAAGGACATCAGGGAGGTGAGCTTGGTGGCAGCTTTTGGCAGAAGATTGAATGGCTGGCTCAGACAATGTCATAGGAACCTATGTCCCAAGCAGCAGCAAACTGAAAAGCAAGGCTGGGGCACCCCTCCGAGGAGCCTCCCATTTGCTTGTCAGACATGACCCAAAAGAATTTTGTACTCTTAGCCTGAGCTGAAAGGCATGGACTCTTCTTTGACCATACAAATAATACACATTTTCCTCAACAAAGGAAAAATGTAGTCATGCATTTCCTAGCGATTAGCAAAGTAAAAATACTGTCTGCTCAAAACTAATTGAAATCCAAACTGTGCTTGGTCAGACCCACATGCAAACTCTTCTGTAGTTTATGTATTCTGCTTGTTTCTTTTAAAAATATTTTATTAGAGAAAGCTCATTAAAGAATGAAATCTACTTAAAGAAGGAAATCTACTTTGAGGGGAACAGGAAAGGAAGGAAGTTCCCACTGTATACCATTTAGAACTTTTAAACTATGAACCATGTGAGCACTTTCCCTAGTTAAAAAAATTCAGTATTTTTAAAAAAAATTCATCAATCTGTAGTTAAAAGAAAAAATCTTAAATTAACATATAATGTATTATTTGTTTCAGGGGTACAGGTCTGTGACTCATCAGTCTTACACACTTCACAGCATCGCCATAGCACATACCCTCCCCAATATCCGTCACTCAGCCACCCATCCCTCCCACCCGCCTCCCAAATGGACTTAAAAAAAGAAAGAAAGAAAGAAAACCCACCAGGAGGCAGCACTGCTCTGTCGGGAGGGAGGGAACCGCTGGTGTATGAGCTCAGACTGGCGACGGTGTTGTGGGTTGTAGTTTTGATTCCTCATTTTCTGTATTGTTCTAACTTTCTACAAAGACCCATACAGAAATAAAGTACACTTTATTTAAGGAAAGAAGAAAGTGTCAAGCCCTGCCCCTCTTTGGCTGTGGGGCCATATCTCTGTATGATGTATACAAATTCCTAAAGGTAGACTT